CAACTCCAAGATCACCATCTTCAGATTCGTCATCCGAAGTGGAATATCTTTACACAGTCTTTCAAGATATATCTCCTAAAAATAAAGGCGCATTGCCGTCTTCAAGTCATCGAACTCCAACATTACCATCTACAAATTCATCACCCGAGGTTGAATACCTTTACACAATCTCTCGAGATGTATCTCCCGAAAATCCAACATTACCATCATCAAATTCATCACCCGAGGTTGAATATCCTTACACAGTCTCTCGAGATATATCTCCTGAAAATCTAACATTGCCATATTCAAATTCATCACCCGAGGTTGCATATCTTTACACAGTCTCTCGAGATGTATCTCCTGAAAATGAAGAAGCATTGCCGTCTTCAAGTCATCAACCTAACGAGTATGTGATTTCACAATTGTTTTCTTGATTTAAAATTGAGTAATTCACCAGATTTCTAATCGAGATTTTTTTGCTGAAATATCAGCAGCAACACAAGTGTTATTTCAAAAACTGAAATGAAGAAAAAGCCTAAGATCGTCTACTCGCTTATGAAACAATCAAAATTACGCGAGATACTTAAGGCAAGTACAAACATGTATTATTCATACCTATGTGTGATCTTTTGAAAATTTAATTTTGTATAATAAAAATTATATATCAATACAGAAAGAGGGCTTATCAACATTCGGCAACAAAACAGAAATGGTTAAAAGACATGCAGAATACATAAACCTCTACAACGCGAACATAGATGCTACAAATCCAAAATCTCGTCGCGAACTCTTATCTGATATGAGGATTTGGGAAACTGTTCAAAGAAACAAAAAACGGAATACAAATTCCTCAGCACAACAGCATCTTGACAAATATCAAAACGAGTTAATTTCTAAAGCAAGACGAAACCTGAGTCAAGGACAGTCTTCATCGTCAAGACAAAGAGGGCCAGGTCCTTCTTCTAATAATAGCATACATGAATTCTGAGTATGCATGCGATCTTGCTTCGCATTATATTTTTATTTTTATTTTTATATTTTTATATTTTATTTTTAATATTAAATTTCATTTTATTATATATTTTTATATTTATTTTTATATTCTGTATTTCTTCAAAATCCTATTAAATAATTGCAATAAAAATTAAAGATAAAAAAATTCAAAAATAAAAGTTAAAAAATAATAATAAATTCGTTATATTAATATTCTATATTTCTACTTAAAAAAAATCGAAAATTATGTCGTCTTACGATTATTCGATCCTCGTGCAGGTAACGAATAAGGTTGCCTTCGAAGAGAATAAAAAGACGAGGATGACGTAACAGCCACAAATCTTTGAGATTGTCTTTGTTCATTCACAATTTGTTTCCTTAGGCTATAGATTCCTTCTCTTGATGTGCCAGCTTGTGGATGATTGCTAGAGTGAGGAGAGGAGCCCAAAATAGATGATGATGATGTTGATTGACCTTGACTATTTTGTCTTGAAGGACCTGGACCATTTTGACGTGATGAGAATGTTGGCTTCAAAAAAGTGAACTACATGAACTACGGTAAACATGTAAAGTATTCAATTATACCAATCGCAGATGGACAATTAATTACATGTGGGAAATCTTGAAGTATTGTGAGTCTATTTTGGAATAAGTTATTATGGGATAGCTAAAAATCCAATTATAAATGTATACTCAATAGCAATGGTTGTGACAAAAATAACGAGCTTCGTGAACATATGAGTTCTAACTACTATTGCCGAAGTAACGTTAAATCTCTCGTAAATCCTTGATTTCCCTTAGATTTCTTAAACAAGAATATCAATATCACTGCTATTTTTGAAACAATTAACCATAATTAATATAAGGGGAATACTTGTTTAACGGCCGAAAGCATTATCGAACACTTCACGATTGTACATGTAGTAATAATTAACATCTGACACTTAGAATTTGTTCAATTCTACCTCTTTTATAATTTGCTTTTGAATCGCGTAATTTCAACAAAATTTCGCGTCTATCATCATTATTATTCGTTTAAATTTATTCATAATCCAATTTGTAACAATATAGTGGTGCTTTGTTGCAAGACATTCAACTTTTGGTAAATTTTTCAAATGGGACTATTGGAAATTTTTTCTGATTTTCATGGATTCTTTTATTAGACTGTCGATATCACATGGTCGTTTCTTGACAACGAGTAATTACTGCAATCATGAACATATAGTTTTCGTTTAAACAACTCGTACTGTTGTACATTTTTAATGTCCAAGCCATTTTTGACTTGCCCATGTCCAAGCTGTCCAAACTCTTGTACACCTAAAAAAATATATAAATATTATCTGGTAAATATAATGTTAAATTTTAAACACTTTTATAACTAGTTGTCATAATAAAATTTTAAGACATTACTATTTTTTTACTTAAAAAAATTGTATGGTGCAGGCTCTCTAAAGACATCCAATAATTTAAAATGTAAAGGCTCTATAAATAAAAACATAATGATAAAAAAAATGCATTATTAAATAATCTTTAATAAGATCTATAAACTAATGCATTTTTTATAGAAAATGTCTTAGAAATTTATTACATAGTTAGATTTTTTCTGTAAATACTTTAAATAGAAATCAATAATAAATAGAGTGAATTTTTAGCATTTAGGAGGGCATTTCTGATTGGCTAGATTCTACCTATAGTCACATGTATTTAATAAAAAATAATGATTAGCTCATAATTTAATTGAGCGAAATCTTAAAGAAACCCATGCTAATGACATTATTGATTTATTATTTTTATATATCATTTGATGCATTTTAAGAATTACAGTCAAAAATAATGACTATTATTTTTATTTAAAGAGGGGGAGGGAGGAGAAATATCACTACCAAATACAAATACCATTTTCTCACATTCTAAACTACTCCCAAACTGATCAAGCTCTAACACTAATTCATATGATCAAACTCTTGCAAAATGCTCTCTGAAATCTGATGATGTGATTTATATTTTTTGATAGCAAAGATAGCAGCTTTGTCTGAGAGATCTTGTTTGTAGATGCTCATATATCGACCAGATCAATACGCATAATGACAAATATTGAGAAGATCAACAGAATCTAATACTAACGGAACAATTATCTTGAGACTCTTAAATGAATAATCATAATGAAGATGTATATACCACTTTGCCTCACCCCAGAATGACTTAATAAAATTAAGTTCATAATGAAACTTTGGATAGAAAATGCACATATGTCCAGCTACTTCAATAACCTCTTGTGTGTGGTTTTTTTGAGAAGCAAAATTAGGTTAATAGCCAAGAATTCTACTTGCGTAATATTAGAGATTTATCATATTAAAAGTATGTAATTTGTAAGTACTACATTGCTTTGCCAAACCCTCTAACCACAAGCCACGTTCTTCCAGGATTCATTTGATACTCTTTGATTTCATTACACCATCAACATCAACAAATATCAGATTGTGCAAAGATCCATCAGGCATTTTGCCATTGCAAAGAAGTGATTACTTATTGCCATCTTTCAAATTCATCTATAAAATCACAAGAGTATCCTTGACATAAGCATTGTGATTGCAACTATTATCAAACATAAAGAGTACAATTTTTCCTGAATGTGTTCATTCAAAAATCAGAATGGCCCTATCAACTACTTGGTTGATAAGATCTTGGTTTATCCACTAGCCATCTCAATTAGAACCCAGATACATAATAACACAAGCTTCAGTATACAAAAGTTGATTATTCTTAGAAAGCAAATTGTTTGTAATTTTCTTCTCTTCCGAAAGACAAAGATGCCTAATTGATTTACAGATAAACTTACTTACATGAATACTAAGCCCTTGTGACTTACGTTAGAGCTGGTTTTCTTCTACTAGATTCCAGGTCTTAACGATTTCATCATTGACGTAAAAAATCAATTCATTGTGAATAATTAGAACAAGTTTGAAAATATTTGTTGAGAGTATTGGTAAAATAATTTGGTTCATATTCTGTCCTTCATACATTATAATCCGAGATTATAGACTGGCTATTTATTATAAGAATTCATTTCAATAAGCCATCATATCTTCACGCTCATAATTATCAAAGTAAATGTTCTTTAAATGGTCCTTGTAATCCTAATCAAGGTGATGTAGCCATTTTTGAACTGTTCTTTTACCAATTGTTTTTTATATCTTAATTCCAAGAGAAGGAATAGCTTCATTCTCAATGAACTTAATAAATTGCTAGATAGTCACAGTGAATTTATTTGTGTGCAAATATTAGATGATGTGTAGCTTGAAATCTTCATCAAGCAGGAGTGACTTAATTTTGGGATGTTGGCCATGATGTGATATGATTATTTCATCTCTTTTCGACTATTATTTAGCCCATAAACGAATAACTCATGTATATTATAGACTCTGATTAATACTATGGGCAAGAAGATTACTAGCAGAAAGCTTAGAAAACTCTTGATCTTGAATGAGGTAAAGGAATTGGCTCACTATCCAAAGCCGCATATCAGAATTTTTCTTTAATAAGATATCAAGAGATGCCAAAGAGAATGAATTATTTTCTTTATCACTTGATTCAATGGTTTCAAATGGGAGTTCGTAATCACTAGAAGTATTATTGACAGGAAGCCAATTTGTGATTTTGCTAGAATCTGAAGCTGCTTTCCTCCAGACCACTCTTTTATTATGAAGTGTTGATTCAGCTAAACCTATATAAATTAGCTTTCATCCTTTTACCACTCATGCATCTAATTATCTGGCATTTTTTATGAGTTTCTCTAATGCATCTGCTTGTACTCTTCCCAATTCTTCTGTAAATTAGTCATCACTTAAAGGCTCATTTTCATTTTCCATCCAAGTAGCATCAAAGCTTAGTTGATCATCATTTTGGTTATTATTCAGTTGATTATCACTTAATTCCTCAGTATCTGATAACTTAGTATTTGATTTCATATTGTTCCAGCACTTTTTTGCAGTTGCTGAGCAGTGTTTACTTTGCTTTTTTCATTTTGGCATAATAAAAAATATGTAATCTGAAAGGGTCTTTAATAAAATATATAAAAATGTGTTCTGAAATGCTAGAATATATTGTGGGTTATTAGGCAAGCAGTCTTTCAGGCACGCTCTTATATAGAAAAGGGAAAGTTTGAGAGTTTCTTAAATAACTTTAAGAGTTACATAAGTAATTTTAAGAGTTATATAAGTAACTTTAAGACTCTCTTAAAATAATTTGAGTCTTCTGATTGTTAAAAGTAATTTAAAATTACTCCTGATAGATTATATGATCACGCAATATATTTTATTTTTACGTAATTTAATCATGTGATTTATTATTTTATTAATAAAATAACCACTCTCTACCCCCAATGTACCACATAATACATACATCAAGAATTTCAGTGATGATGCAGTATTTGATATCTTTAGAGTTCATGCACTATATAAATCTTTTTATATCAACCCATAATTATAATTAATTAATTATATTTATTAATAATTTTAGTTATAAATTATAAGATAATAAATTAATAAAAAATTACTCTTATTACTTGCAAGATTCTTTATTAGAACTTTTTTATATAATATATTTTAAATTTCTTTAATTATTTATTTTATCTTAATTATTAATAATTTCTTGATTTTTCTCTATTCTTACTCTATTTTTACTTTATTTCTATTCTTAAATAATTTTATTTATCTATCTCTAATTAAAATACTTTGTTATTATATTTTTGTCTTTTTCTTTGATCTTTTTATTATAATATATTATTTAAAGATTCAATTTGCAAGAAAAAAAATATATAATACTTAATAATATTATATGCAAAAAAATAAGCTTATTCTGAATTAAAATATCATCAGATACTTATTATAAAAATATAGTTAACTATTTTAATAAAAAATATTTTGATCTTGATATTATATAACCAACTATTATAAAAATATTAAAAAAAATTAGACTATTAGTATAACATTAATTTGAATAAAATATTAAAAATAACTTACAAGTATTATTTATCAAAATTTTTCTTATTAGAAAGAGTTTTAAATTTTTGAATTAATTAAGTATCTGCTACAAGATTAATTTTAACTGAGATACTTCTTAAAAAAAAGACTGAATATTTTACTACTCTTTTTGAATTTGATAAGAATATTCTTTAATAATCAAATAGTTAAATGAGAAGATTTAAAATATGTAAAGTATAAAAGTTTTTTAGCTTCATAATAAAATTAATTTAGTATTAATTGAAAATTTACCTGAAGAAAGAAGAAAACTATATAAATTATTATTATAATATAGAACTAAAGATATTTATAATATAGATAAAACTAATTTATTTTATTGGATAGCTTCAAACTAAACTCTTGTAAAGTATTAAACTACTAACAAAAAAATAGTAAATTTTTAAAGTTCTTTTATTTATGCTAATATTTTCTCTTATTAATATATTAATTATATTTAGGATAAAATATAAATTACTATTTTATTAATTATAAATATTACTAAAATTCAAATTCAAATTTCTTATAATTAATACTGTTAAATCTCCATATTTATTTAAGAGAATTAATATTTTCTTATTATCTATTATATATTGATATAACTTAAATATATGGATGTGTAAAGAAATCTGGAAAATTTAGTTAAAAAAATTGATAAAAATTTTTAAATTCAATAATAATATATACTTCTGCTTATTAATAATATTTTATCATATAATATAATTATAAATATAGATAAATTAAATAGTAATATAGATAATTTATCTAAAATAGTTAAAAAAGATAATGTTAATTTATCAAATGAAGAAAAAAATAAACTAATTATAAAAAGTTTTATTAGTAATTATAGAAAGTGAGATTGATTATGAGAATAAGT